TGCCGGAGGTATTCTGATAGTATCAGTGTTACCGACTTTTTTTTTTAATGTCAGAATGTTACGGTTTCTCTAAAGAGCGGCTCCGTCAGATGTCAGACGAGGGTTTACGGTGGTTCGCGTGATCGCAGAGCTACTTAATGCGGGTCGAGGACGAGCAACATCTTCCTGTGCTTCCACGTCTGCTGAATCCTGAAACTTGTGTTTTCTCCTCTTCACATTTTGTTTGGAAACATTTCTAACTTAAGAGAAAGTAGGAGCTTGAGCAGCAACATGTCTCAGTTCAACCCCTAGTCACGCATCTGTCGAAGTTTTTTTCTGATCTCTGGTGTACAGAATCGTCTGTACGCCTGTGGTGTGTGTGTGACTATTTTTTAGGTACCCAGCAAACCCCAGTGGGAAATACAGAGCTGCTGAATGCCCTCGGCCCCCACGCGGCACAGCGCCCCGCCCAGGGTCGCCTCTGTCCACACCTCATCACCACCGGGGGTCCCCAGTCTGCATTTGGGCTCACCCCGGGTGGGGCGCCTTCTGTAGATTTGACCAACGTGATGTGCAGTGTGTCTGCGTCATGCTATCTCATAGAGCACGGGCACTTCCACTGCCCTAAAAGCCTCTCTTCCACCTGGTCACCCTCCTGCTCAGGCCCTGATCCCTGGACCTCCCACGGCCTCCCTAATTTTGCCTGTCCCAGGATGTCACGCAGCGGGGGCCACACAGCTGCCGCCCTCAGACGGGCGCCTTGGACTTACCGATGTGCGCGTGAGGACCCGCCGCGTCCTCCCAGGGCTTGGCAGCGCACCTGTCCTCAGCGCCGAATGACGTTCCCGTGCGGGTTGCCAGCTCCCCCTCCACCTGCTGAAGGGCGTCTGGGTGGCTTCCACGTTTCCACAGTTGTGAATGAAGCTGCTGTGAACACCATGTGCAGGTTTTTGTGTGATGTGAGTTTTTAACTCACTGGGATCAATGCCGAGGAGTGTGAGCTGGGTCGTGAGCGTGGGGTGAGTCTCGTAAGAAGCCGCCCTGACGCCCTGCAGGGTGGCTGTGCCCCGTGGCCCTGCCAGCACCGAGGGGCCCGCGGCCGCTCATCCTCCCAGCACAGAGTCCCCCGGTGTGAGCGCGAGGCTCTCACGCTGCCGTTCCAGTGACAGGACGTGGAGCGCCCTCTCCTAGGCCTGTTTGCCATCTGTGAACCTCCTTGGCGAGGTGTCTTGCCTCTGACTCTATTTCCAATTGTTTTTTTTACTGCTGAGTTTAAGGGTTCTTCGTGTGTTTTGGAATCCAGTCCTTTATCAGATGTGTCTTTCCTAAATATTTTCCTCTAGTCTGTGGCCTGCCACATTCTCTTCACAGCGTCCTTTCAGACCAGAAGTTTTAATTTTAATGAGGTCCAGTTTATCAATTATTTCTCCTCTGGACTCTGTCTCTGGCGTTGAACCCGAGCTGGTCTGGGTTTTCTCCTGCGTCATTGTGCAGGAGCGAGGTTTCTGTGTTGCTTAAGGGCACCTACAGTTCAATGTGTTGAGAAGACTTTGCTATAGGAAAGCAGATATTTTTTGTTGAGACAGGTTAGTCACACTCTGAACTGAGGGAATTCCGTCAGGAGGACTGGCCTTGTCCCAAAGCCAGTTTCTCTTGGAATCAAATTGGACAGTTGGCGACAAGTCTGCCATGAAGCTTCTGCCTACAAACGTACTTCAGAGTTCACGCAGTGGGACTAGTCTCAGGAGGGGGTGCTCGGTGGGGGGGCCTCCTCGGCTTCATCTCGCTCCAGTGTGTCGGCCCCCACCCGAGGGCCGGTCAGCCTGCTGGACGTGAGACACGCAGGCAGGGAGTACACTTTGCCTTATCCTAGAAAGGCTTCCAAATCTGACGTGCTTGACCTCCTTGAAAATCAGGTCACATAGCTATAACCTGTTATTTTTTAAAAAGAGAAAAATAGCTTTCGTTAGGTTGTAGTAAGTTCGAAATGTGAGACGTTCAGTTATTACTTGGATTAAGGAACACGTAATTGTTACTAAAACAGCGTTAACATTGTAGAAGATGGGTTTTTCTGAGCTCCTGAGGCGATCGCACTTTTTGGTCATGAAAACACATCTATTTTGTGTTGAGGTGAAATGGGGGGAGGTTAGAAGGTGAAACATTGATTGCGGTTATTTCATTACGAGGAGAGGCTTTAACGAGTCTGATGTTTGGAGCACGCAACCGCCGTGCGCGGGGTGGGTGTCTGCGCGTTACACGGTGCGCGGGGTGGGTGTCTGCGCGTTACACGGTGCGCGGGGTGGGTGTCTGCGCGTTACACGGTGCGCGGGGTGGGTGTCTGCTTAGGCACTGTCACAGGGTTAGTGCCCCATTTGCTGGGTGCAGAAACCAATCACAAAGCAGGAAGGTGACTTGGAAAGGCCCCACAGCTACGAGGTGGTGACAGACTCTCCTTGACTGAAGTTTAGTCAGACTTCTGTGAGCCCTCTTCCCGAGGGTCTCTGGTGGCGCCCCAGAATGCGCTGTCCACCGTGCCGACTCACCGGGAGTGCGGTTGACAGAGGTAGGGGGCTGGTGACATAAGCATCAGGACCCAGGTTCCAACTGAAGATGCTGCCGCTGGCATTTCACGCGGTTGATAGCATTTAGAGAGCACGTTTATCTCCGTGAGAGTTATCTGGACTGTAGATTGAGAGCTCAAAGTTTTCTAGGGGCTGCGTGAGCAGGTTCTAGAAAGGCGACAGTAATGCCCACGCTGTACTCTTAAGTTCGGCGTACCCGAAGCGTGAATTACGTCGGTGCGTCAGCAGCACAGAAGCCGGTCGGTGACGTCACTCGCTGTTTTCATGCGTGGCCTTTAACTCTGGTGTGTGTTTTTACCTTCCCCAGCACTTATTCATTTGGATGCTAACTTTTTATCAGAAATATGTGATCAGTATTTAGATTTTATGAAATTTGCATCTGGAAAAGTAGATTATTTTAACCAACTTGTTCCAGTGACTGAATCGGCACTTTGCTAGTGACAGGCGTGACATCCTGTGGCCCCTCCAGCTCCCGGGGGCCAAGTGTAGCTCGTGGTGGCTGAGCTGAGAGCACACGCTGGGCCCCGGTGCCAGGTCCTGGGGCCCGAGGAGCTGCTCTGGGGGTCAGCAGAGCCGTGCAGCTGTGGGCCCTGGGGTGCCGCTCTGCGTGCCGTGCACCCGCGGATGCTGCTGGCGTCAGGGCTTAGGCTGGAAATGGGATGCCCGGGGGCTTCAATCCTAATCGGTAAGAGTTACTGGTTTTTCCAGTGCTTTAGGTAGCACGACTCAGAACATTCATAAAAATCGCTGCTCACTGCATTCGAGTCAGGTGACCGTGGGTTTCAGCGTGTGCTGGCTCACCTGCTGGGAACAGTGGCAGACTGCCCCACCTGGGTGTGGTGAGGGGCTAAGGCATGCGTGGGGTAAGGCGCCGTCACCTCAGGGTCAGAGCTGACAGCCTAAGCTCGAGGAAGCTGTCGTCTGTCGTTTCAGAATGAGCGAGACCCAGGCTGGTCGGCCCGGGGACTCAGCCTGCATGGGTTCCCCATACAGGGCGGGTCCTCTCGCTCCTGGTACTTGTGGACTGGCCCGTCAGCCCAGCGCCTGCCCTGGCAGGGTCCTGGGGCCACTCTGAGGCTGGCTGCCCTCCCCTTTGCTGTGGGAGAGG